GCAGCCAGTCTGGAGAATGATGTGCAGGTTACCGAGTTTCGAACACTGGACGTCCCGATTATGAAGCATGATCGATAATCGATATGCCGGACTCACGGTAAGCTGACTGAGGACCAGGAAACCAGCAGAGTTTCCGTGTTGATTGGCGCTGTTTCCGCGAAATGGCGTGACCGCGTACAATGGAGTTCAATTAATATTGATGGCTGCTTCATCAATGTCACCATCTGATTTACATTCGAACATAGTAACATGTACCCTCAGTTTCTACGCAACCAGCCACACAGATGGCCCGAGTTCATTCTCCAAAATTAAGAATGTTCGCAATGTTTAGTAAAAGTAAAAGTAAATCAAATCAAAGCGGTCCCGCTACACGCCATGTAGGCACTTGGGGGGAGAGTAGGTATAGCTCCTACTCATTCTTGACCTCGGCACTAGATGGGGGGTGAGTGGTCAGCATCACGCCCTACCCGCGCTTTGCCCCCAGGAAAAGACCGCGGTACCCATTGGATAGGTGACAGGTGGGCCCCAGAGCCGGTTTGGACGCAGGGGCTAGAGAAAAAATCCTCTGCCCCAGTCGGGGAGAAAACCCCGATATTTCAAGTGAGTTCTTCAAATTAATTTGTTTCGTCGGCTACATTAGTCGTTCAGGTAAAATTTCGCCCTGATGATAGAAGCAGTAAGCACCCCTAACGTCGGTAAACTTCTACCAGAATTCACGTCTGAACATTTCTTCGTTCGTTGCTTTGGTTGAGGTAATTGGTCTGTTTTCTTGGTTCTTTTAATTAGGTTGGTTAGTTTATAGTTTAAATGCGTCATGTTTACTTACAGATGTTAAAATTTAAAATTTTAACATCTGTAAGTAAAGTTTGTGTATATGACCTGAATTATATTATATATTTTAATTAGGTTGGTTAGGTACGTGTTGTTATTTGGCTGGAGTATATAGTAAGACCTTGACAGCGTACCCGAGTTCTCTCCCGCATGCACTGGGGGCAGATACGAATCAGCAACCCCTGTGTAAAGCCGTCGTAACGGAACCCCACAAAGCAGGAACACAAAGTGACCTAGACGTAAACAAGAAAAAGTCGTGGAAAAGCCTACTTCACATTTAACTGTCGATTTCAGCAAAAGAGTTGTGAGAAAGTCTCATAACCTGCAATCACTGCCTTAACAATCTCTATGGAGTGAAATCCTTCTTTCGAAGCTAATATTTTATTCAGGTCATTAACTTTGGAATGTTATAAGACTCTTTAGAGTTATTTGTAACTGCACCCAATCCTGATCCATTTCACGCCCTCGTATTTTATTTAAAATCCATTTTAATATTATCCTCCATCTACTCCTAGCTCTCTCTCATGTGGTCTCTTTTCTTCACGTTCTATCATTTTGGCGAGAGGCCATCTTTAACACCCGTGCAAAAAATTAGTAAAACTATTTAAACCCCATTCCCGTTTGAACCAGAAAGAATGGACGCTTTACATAAAGACCAAAATGATTTGGGGAGTCCCCGTGACGACATTATCGCCAAACCAGACAGCTTCCTTAGCATCCGCGTTGAGAATCCCTGGATCTGACATCAGTGTCGCCTTTCGCAAGTGTTTTGTTTAAACTTCGAATCCTGGCGTAAGCCTGGTAACTGTTACACTTTGCCTGCGTTCATTAATCTGTCTTCTCGTCACCACGACCAAACCACTCCTTTCGCGGGGCTATGACTGCCGGAGCATCTCATTCTGAGGTTAATTCGTGGAGCTTTACCTCCACGCCCCCTTCACCCAGTGATCGTCAGCTTACCTTCTGGTAGAGGAAGGGATGGGTGAGGGCGAGCCACCGCTCGACGGCCATCACCACAGCCACGCACCCGGAGCTGAGGCCGAATTGCCTCCAGATAACCCTCACCACGCAGAACTCCAGGCTGCACGCCTTCCCGATTGGCAGGTAGACCTGTAGATTCATGAGAATCAGCATTCCCAGCAGGGCCACGAGGTCGTTGGATGCTAGACATCGAAGCATCAGAACTATCTTCTTGTTCCTGGTTTGCTTCTCGCTCCGGTACAAAATGGTCAGGGCCGCGAGGTTTCCCAAAGCCCCGGTGACGTACATCACCGTGAACACCGCCTGCGTCACTGCGCCCATTCGCAAAGTGCATGAGGAAACCTCCGCGATGTTTGTGTGATTCTGTTCCATGTTCCTAAACTGATTTTTTTTAACAAGATGCGCTCAGTTCCCCTTGTTCCGCAAAAGTTTCCCCTTGCGTTTCTCTACAATGTTAATCCGTTCATTGCGTTAACATTTCATTATATCGTTTCCTTTCTAGCGTTTGATGACTGACGCAAATTGTAATTTTGTTGGGTACCGTAAGAATGAGAATGCGACAGACATTGCTTCTGATTTTGTTTTGACCAATTTAATACTGACTAGAATGATTTGTTAAAAGAAATTATTGTTTAATTTGATAGTGCGTGTTTGAAATTCCGTATAGAAATCGATATTTATTTCCACTGTGTTGGTGCAATAATCTGTCCCACAGGACTTAACTCTCGGAAATTACTTTCGCCGAAATGTCGTGTTCTCTACAAAATTAACTTCGCTGAATGAAAATTCTTTTAACACTTGTTGCACTATTATTTAACACAGTTGTTCTTATTCTGTTAATAGAGCTTAGCTATGTGAAAAATGTTGAAACTAACACTTGTTGCACTGTTCTTTTGTTTGGGGCTTAGTTAAGTCTTCTTTTAACACAATTGTTGTCGTGTCCTTTTGTTTAGAGTTTAACTAAGTCTTCTTTCAATACAATTGTTGCACTGTTCTTCCGAATTAATTATGTAGAAGCTGTTCAACACTTGTAGCACTATTCTTACGCACAGAACTTAACTGTGTGAACCCTTCTTGTTGCAGTCAACTAGTTGCTTAAATTTATGTCTCCAGTCCGTCGTAGCGCGGTTTGCATTACTTTGATACATTTTGCTGGGACTACAGGAGTACGCGTGTGTCTTCAGTTGGCAGTAGAAGTTCATTACTTGATTAAGGGCCACAATTCACCTGGGAGCAGCCCACAAAAATTCCAAACGTCTAGGTCAATGCCGAAACGTTACAGGCGGCTTCGCCCGCATCCCAGTTCTTGCAGCGACTGCCGGCGACCGCCACTTCTGTGTTAACAGAATACGTAGATGAACTAAAGGACGCTGTCGATGCGCATCAGCTGTTGCGCAGGCAAACCCTTAACAACCGAATGGGGAAAAAAAAAGCCTAGGGGTGAAAGTATTTTTGTGGGATCCTTGAGACACAGCTTTGTAATTGCGTGGCGTAACGCAACTGATATTTCAAAACACACGACGCAAAGGTTCAGTGTGTCGGCTAATAACCTAGCTTCGCACTCCGGAAGTCTTGAGGGCCTGAATCTTGCGTTTTGTTAGTGGTTTTCCTCGCTTCTTGCAAGGAAATGCTGGAACTGTGTGCCTTTAAATTATCCACGAAAACTTCCCTTGACAATTTCACCAATTGCATCTCCTTGTCTCTCCCGAGATAACATTCGCAACTGGATTTTGTCAAAATAATAGATTTATTTCGTGTGATTCACAGAATAACCAGCGATAAGGCCTTTTTGCGTGTGTTAAAAAAATTATTTATAAGATTCGTTGAATTGGCCACACATCCGTAAAAGTACGATAACCCCTTGTCTCGATGGTATTTGTGCTTGAACGGATTAATCAGAGAATAAAGAATGAAAGGAAATGAAGCAGAAGGAAAGAGGAAAGGTTGAAAATACGCGCATCGCAGAATAAAATAACCAAGTTATAACAGTAATTTGTGGCTTGTGATTAGGATTATAAATACGTAGTGCATGTAGCACGCATGGTTGATACAAATCGTTGGTAAGATGGCAGTGATGACTTTGATAATCTAATCTGATGTTATGAAAATGGGGTTTAGACAAAGAAGGTGTTAGGTTGAGGGCTGGACTGAACTGGTTTGGGACAGAATCTGATGTCTGGATTTTTTTAACGCAGTAATGGAATTTCAGGATCCATAAAAGCTTAGACTTTTGAACAGCTGAGTAGTTATCGTGTTTTCAAGTAAGCTCCTGCACTACGGATTCTCCGTGTTCGGAACTGTTAATTTTCCATCGTCTTCCCACCCCAATCCATTCTCTTTCTCCGTCAGTGAACTTTTACGTCTCGTATATAAGAAAGCGTATCGTGGAAATACTTTGAAAAGGTTTTCTGTCCTGTCAAATACATTCCATTCATTTCGGAGCTGTATAGCTGTTGTTGCAAAGTTTGATTGACTGAAAGATATTAACAAAGATATTTACAATCACGAGGCCCTGCTGTAAGGGGTTGTTAGCTTCCGTGCTCAACCCCCAAGCTAGAGTTCTGAATATATTTCGACTGTTTATTCGATATATTCACAGCCAGATATTTTCCATACCTGGAGGCCGTCTCATGCATGTACGCATATAGGAACTCAGAAATGCTTACAGAATTGTAGTCAGGAAAACCTGAACACTTTGAATACAGAGAGGCATAGGTAGGAGGATAATATTAAAATATATATTAAAGGAACAGGGCGTGAGGGAATGGACCGGATTCATCTGGCTAAGTAAAGGATTCTGTTTCTGACTAAATGATTTGCTGAGTGTGACAGATTTACTGAGTAGATGAGTAAAACTTCTGTCGATTTTATAATGTGCATTTCGTAGTTTAGTATTTCTATTTCATCATGTACTTCATTCTGTTTGTTATATTTGATTTGAGAAGCTACAATTTTAAACATATTCACACGATTCATATCATATTGTTATCATAAGTATTTTCAAATACAGTACAAATGTTATCAAACTCTTTGAAACTCTGTTGAATTTCCTCGTAAATTTCAGAGCGAGTTGATATGGAAGTAATTACATGCAGGAAGTTTGCATTTACGTCTCGTACTCTAGCCTGTATTTATTTCTAACATTTCTAGCATCTTTCTGATTATCTTGAAAAGGCAGTCCAGAAATTTAGAAGATAATTTGTATGCATGTCAGTTATCTTCACGGATACAATTCTGTTCATTAGTTGAATTACTGGTTCTGATGCATCTTTGATGTTCGTGGCTTTACTCTGTGCTGTGGTGGCGAGAAGCCACTCCTTGCTTCCAGTTGAATATTTCCCATTACCTTTCAAAGAATACAAACTTGTCTGCAATAAATTAACCCTCTGAAGCCAAACATCGCTTAATTAATACATACAAATTCAACCCGTACCGCACAGAAAACACTACACTTCACCATTACAAAGATCAATTCGTTAACGGTGTTTAAGCTCTGATTTAATCGAGACCTGTACATAAATATCACTAGTAAGCCGAAGCTCGTCTAAATAATATTAAGGACTGAGTCCGTACCACGAAGAAAACACAACACTTTACCATTACAAAGATCAACTGATTAACGCCGTTTAAGCGAATACGCTTAGAATAATAAATAATACGAAACACATTAAAATGCGTGGGCAAAATGAAAAAGGCAAATGGTACAATACAGTACCACTGATCTTTGAGTGGTTAATCTGTACCAAATCCATCCGCCACGGGTAGCTACCAGCCCCACTGAATATTGACATTACCCTTTGTGCCCCACAATGCCAGGTCTGGACTACAAGATACAATTTTCATCTGAAAAATTTGTTAATTTATCGCTATTACGTGATATCACTTAATTTAATTTCCTTCTTTTCTTTAATTCCATTTACATTCCTTCTCTTTTCCTCCTTTTTATTTCTCTATCCTATTCTTTCTTGCTTGCTTTGGTTTTTACGCGTAATTTGGTAATCATTTTCATGTGTCTCATGCTGGTTTCCGGAGTGTTGTCGCCGTATGGACTTGTAGGTAGATATGAACGTTTCGGAGGAACATAATTCCTCCATCTTCATCGTTCTTAAGAGTTTCAGAACAACTAAATTTCAGTGAACGTCACGTGTCATTTTTCAAAACCTGTCTTGTGCACACACGTGGGATTTGCCTCCTACAAATTTCATTGGTGCGTCGTCCATTATGGAACTCTTATCTCGGGGTGGGGTTTTTGGAACGGCTAAGTGCATTCTTATGCCTCAGTTGCTCTACTTTCAAAATCATCAGCGATGCTTTTTTTTTCTACACGCGACTGGAAGTCTTGTTCATAAATAGACCTGAACGAGTGATGCCTTCTGGGGAAAGATAAGTGGCCTACAAAATTTATTATATAGCTTTCACATATATATCGAAGCCCAAAATATTTTTGCCACGTGCGTAGGCCTGCATAAGTGTCAACATTACACGTGGCTGTGACGTAAAACGAATTGGACACGTGGACTTACGAAACCCATAAGTCTCAAATTCTTACGGAGCCCGGTGGTTTACAGCAGTGGTATTCAACCTTTTTTGTTCGTGTACCCCCCAGATATAATTTCTCTTCAACTTTGTACCCCCAAAGTTGTTGGTGTATGATTCAAGTTATACATAGTATATAATCTACATCTAAAATAAATTAAATAAATTACATTACTGATTATTCAGTGTTTATCATGAAATAATATATATTTTTTTAAATTTCACGTACCCCCTAAGATGTCTTCGCGTACCCCCGGGGGTACCCGTACCACAGGTTTAATACCGCTGGTTTACAGCATAACAGTCTTAAGAAAACTCTTTCATGTGCATGTTAAATATCTTTGAACACGGAATAAGACATGGGTTTGCCGGTAGCTGATCACTGCTTATTTGAAGGTAAATATCTCGGTATTCCCGTGGAGAGACTGATGGTAATCACTGAAAATGTTACGCCCTGAAAATGGGGTATTTTTTCTCTTTCGAAAAGTTGGTACCCACCCACAAGTCCGAGTGGCGCCACAGACCAGAAGACCACAAGAGACGTGAAAAATCTTGAGCACATTCTCATGGAATATGGCCATCGATGGAGAATGTGATTTTGCATGCGCGCCGCGTGTGTTATAATGTCATATTGTGTTGGCAAACATGGAGGTACTTCCTGTACAGAGCACGTGATTCGGCCGTGCTAAAACCCCATCGGCGTTGGGCTCCTCGTGTGGTTAGCAACAGACAAGATGCAGTTTTTAATACACGGAGACGCCTCGTTCTTGCATAGGTTCTGAAGACGTTTCACTGCTTCGGGAAATAATTTTATTTTTCACTTGTTTACGAAAGGCTTTTGAATCGGTCACTCTGAGCCAATGAATATTAACTTACTCACACAGCCAGGAACTTGTCGAGTGATAATTTATTAGATTTCATGGTTTCAAAACATTCTCTCTCTCTCTCTCTCTCTCGTGTAATTAGAGTAAAAAAAATGTTTTTCTTTCATGTACACTGTACAGAGTTTCTAAACGCGTTCTTTTCTCTTTTAATCCGCCACTGGTCTTGATGTTAAAACATTGAATATGTAAGTGTAATGTTAATTGGTTCAGCCACGGTGGTCTAGCGGTTAGAACGCTGGCCTTGTAATCCTGGGGTCTCGGGTTCGATTCCCGGCGGTGCCCGAATTTATAACTTGTGTTGGGCAAGGCCGTGGTCTAGGCAACACGGAGTTTTCCTCCGTGGCATCCCAACAATTACTCCATTCACACACAGAAGAAGGCAATGGCAAACCACTTCTGGATCATCTGCCAAGAACGTATATGAACAGGTCCCAGTCCGAGAAAAGGATGGAAGGATCCTGTTCATATGGACCTGTCGTCACACAGAACACTAAATAAATAAATAAATAAATAGTTACTACGCACTGCATTACAGGAGTTCGTCTTGAGAAGCTTGTAGTCACTCAGCCAGTCTAGAGATTACCCGTAGGTTACAGAACCCAGACACTCATTACCGTGTCCACAAGTCGGATGAATCCAGTTACTTTAAAATTCAATTTAATGACACGATACTCCGTTAAATCAACAGTAGAGATATTACTCTACGTAGATGCTCATATGAATTCTTAATTCTCTTTGTTTGAACGAAACATAAAGTTTCGCTTTCTTACGTTATGTTTAGATGAAGGTGAATTCGAAAATAAATTTTATTATAAGAATTTTGTATGACATTAAACATTGATCTCAGGTTTTTAAAATCATAAATGATGCGGTAATTTTATTAAATAAAAGCTAATAGGAAATTTAAGCCTGGGAGAATTTATTTCTGTTTGATCGTGAAACAGCGGCCATGTTAGCCCAGCGTCGGTGATTCAATCACCATTAATCACCGCTTTCATTCCCTTCCGTTAATGCATTTCTCAGTGAACCATTCAGTGCTGTACAGAGCATGGCTTGAATGAGGTGTACTATTGAACAGCACGTGTTTAGTTCAATAAAATATCTCAGAAAACTTTGGCTCGTTTCCATGACAACCAGTTGCAATTAGATAAAAATTACTCCGCGTGGCCGCGGTATGGTTAAACGAACAGGGTCACTGATAGACGAAATACAAGATTGGAAGCTGGAGGTGCTGACTAAAGAGTCACATTGGTGCCGGATTTGGAACATCACCAAGGAAAAAAACCTTCAACGACCAGCGTAAGAACACAGGTGTCACGAGAACATGTGCACTAAGGGACACAGAACGGTCAAATCTACCACTAAATAAACCAGTGGTAGTTAATTTTTTTGTAAATTGGTTTCTTCCATCGTTATTCCTGCAGTGATGTTGCGGGTAAAGGCGCGGCTAGCCGCTTGCTTCGCGGTCAAACAGGAAGAAATTCTGCCACACGCACGTACGCCATGATTCCTCTCCGTTTTTTGCGAAACAAAATAGAATCGGATGTTGTCCTGATACGTGTGATTCAAATATAGAAATAGGTCGAAACTTTTCTCGTCTCAATATTTTCCGTAGCTCAAACAGGTTCAATTAAAATGTCGTGGCGTCATAAAATACAACATTGGCCACCGCGTAACTTCGAAAATCGTTGCCGGAATGTTAAATTCGAGTGGCTGGAAATTATTATGAACTTCCGTCTTATTGAGAGGTTTCTGAGTCGTGCGTGATCAGTGGAATGCATTTAACATCGCACTCTTTAGATCGATTGTTTTAGATTATTTAACGAATATTTTCAAATGTTGTAACTCACATATCATAGATCAGTTAATAACAGAATGTGATATATATAAGGTAGATGTCTGTCTTCTGAGCTGGTGGGACGTGAAGTCTGGTAGAATTTTACCAGCGTTTCGGAGGTTTTTGCTGGCACCATCCTCAGGGCGATGATACTCACTCATCGCCCTGATGATGAAGGCAACAAGGACTTCAGAAACGTTGGTAAACTTCTATCAGACGTCACGGCGTTACAGCCCAGAAGGCAGCCATTATGTAATTTATTTATTTCCCCAAAAGTAGGGGGCACTACATTTTACAGCCATTCAAGTGTTTGAAATGTACAGAATATAATAGTTTCTGAACCTAGTTTTTTGTGTATTTGTGTTTCTCCAAAAACAATTTTTTTTAGTGTTTTAAAATGGCCTTTCACTTTTGAGTATATATATATATATATATAACTTACAAATAACGTAGCTGAGAGTTTTCGCAAATTTGTGTCATCATCTACAGAAATGTTACATTCCGAATAAGCGTCACAGAAATTTGAAAGTCCCACCAAAGCTGTTACGTTTCCGCGTTTCAGCTTTCCAGCTAAACATAGAACCACACTCGAAATAGCCGTTCTTTACCTATATGTGCGCCATGCTGTTCGCATGAATACGTAGTAGCTTCCCATTGTACTTATGAAGACGGGGGTAAACGTTACATTAAAACACGCAGGTAAATTTCAAAGTATTGCTTTTCGACTCGCTGTTTGCTGGATAATGTTTATTGTGATATAAATTGTAATAGCAGCCTGCATGTGTCCACTGCTGTGAGTCACATGTACATCTGTTACAAATTAAGAACAATAAAAGCTGTGTAAGCTGAAACTATCAGTTACATTACTTGTAAAGGTTGAATTAATAATTTTCTTTGTATTATGGTTTTGTCCTTGAAATAAAGGAATTATCAGCATTAATCGTTTAAATAATTACATAATTGTCCGTCCAGGTAGCGTTGAAAAGCACGCTGCTATTTTAGATCTCTATTTTCTACCAGTAGATGGCATTTGCGGTTTCGTATTTTAAAATTCAATGGCGGCGGACCTAGTTTTTATGGTTTCTATGTGACTACGCAAGTGGAAAATTATATATTCGCGCATATATTTTGTATTAAAGTGTGAGGTGTGGAGGAGTTTCATTCCAGGTTTATTGTAGTCTTTGGCTCCTTATAAAATATATTTTAATCAAAGAGAAGGAGCATATCTTGGTGTTCGAGTTCAATGGTACCTATTTTTTAAATATATAATTCAATAAGTTGTGAAACCCGCGTAATGTTGTGTAGAATAATTATGAATGTGAAGTAGTCACAATTGACAAATCATGTTTAATACTAATACATTTAAGCTGTAATCTCATTCACACTACAATGAGGACAGTTATGTCAGCACAAATAGTATAATGGTCAAGTATGATTATTAACCCTTTTACTTGTGTAAAGTTTTGAATCAGTGAATATTGAGAACTGCTAGGGAATGACTATTTTACATGTTGCATTCGAGGTACTTAAAGACTTGAGTGCCCTTCAAAACAAACTTTAATTGTGTATGATTTGAGGTTTACACAGCGGGTAGTATGAAGATTTTTGTCTTCTCGGTTGTTGTGTCATGTAGTATGGTAGATGTTTAACAATGTTTCAGAGGTCTTACTGCCTCCGTCACCAGGGCGATGACGGAGGCAGTATGACCTCTGAAAAGTTGATAAACATCTACCATACTACATGGCACAACAACCCAGAAGACAGAAATCTACATACTCACCACTGTAAACCTCAAATCATACATAGAAACAGACCTTTTGCTTATATCCTTGAAGCAGAAAAAGAATAAGATGAAGAAATATCCCCAGTGGTATAAAGCAGCCGTAACATGAACTCTACCACTCATATTTATCGAATAATGAGGTGAATGTGTAGAGTTTCACCTCTGTTTACCTGACATATTTTTGTGGCACGGTGCTTTAGTGTGATGACAGCTTTACTTTGATTCAAAGAATATAGAAATTGTAGTGAAGGTTATGCAGCTGTTTGAACATTATATCTATGTTGTGTGGGCTCATCTTGTGTTCTGTTCTTTATATTACAGAAATCAGATGATACAATCATGGACAATAAAAACAGTGATGTGGGTGTCAAAGTGGAATCGTCAACAACTATCGAAAATAAGGAGGTGGAGGTAAATAATATATTTTTTACTTGTAATTATCCGTGCAGCTCAAGTGGAAGGATTCATGGACATTTATAAAATGCAGATAATCCAAATAATCTGCATTTTATAAATGTCCATGAATCCTAATCCAAATAACTGATGATATCAAGGATAGCTTTTATGAAGAATTGGAATCAGTATTTGATACATTTGGCAAGTATCACATGAAAATTCTGCTAGGAGATTTCAATGCAAAAATTGGGAGGGAGGATGTCTTCAAACCCACAATAGGCAGCGAGAGTCTCCATGCACTTAGTAATGATAATGGCGTCAGAGCAGTGACCTTCGCTACGTCAAAAGATTTAATTGTAAAAAGTACAAAATTTCCACACCGTGATGTTCATAAATACACTTGGACTTCCCCAGATGGCAGAACACACAATCAAATAGATCATGTTTTAGTAGATAAGAGAAGGCAGACAAATGTAATTGATGTGAGATCATTCAGAGGAGCAGATTGCGACACTGATCATTATCTGGTGGTAGCAAAAGTGAGGGAGCGGCTTTCAGTAAGTAGACGAACTAAACAAAATTTTGACACAGAAAGATTTGATTTGAAAAAATTAAGTGAGGGAGAGGCAAAGGAACAATATCAAGTTGAAATTTCGAATAGGTTTCAAATTTTAGAGAGAAATGAGGATAATGCAAGTGTGGACATCAACAGGGAGTGGGAAAATGTCAGAAACTGCATCAAAATTTCAGCAAAAGAGAAACTAGGATACTACAGGAGAAAGCAAAATAAACCGTGGTTTGATGAAGAATGTTCAAAATTAATAGATCGAAGGAAGCAAACAAAATTTCAATGGTTGCAGAACCCAAACAAAACAAATGCGGATAATCTATGTAACGTGAGACGTGAGGCTAGTAGAACCTTTAGGACTAAGAAAAGGGAATACCTGAAGGGCAAAATTGCTGAACTTGAGACAAATAATAAGGAAAAAAACATCCGAGACCTGTACAGAGGCATTAATAACTTTAAGAAAGGATATCAACCCCAGACTAATTTGGTAAAGGATGATAGTGGCAATTTGCTTGCAGATCCAATAAAAATTGTGAATAGGTGGAAAAATTTCTTTAGCGAGCTCTTAAATGTTCATAATACTGGTGATATTAGACAGATTAAAATGCATACAGCTGAACTGTTGGTGCCAGAACCTAGCTTAGATGAAGTGGAACTAGCCATTGGGAAGTTGAAAAGTTATAAATCTCCAGGAATTGATCAGATTCCGGCCGAATTAATTAAAGCAGGTGGCAAAGGGTTGCATATGAGGATCCATAAGCTTATTCAGTTAATTTGGGATAAGGAAGAGATGCCACATCAATGGAAGGAATCCATAATTATTCCTATTTATAAGAAGGGGGACAAGACTGAGTGTGGTAATTACCGAGGAATATCGCTGCTATCAACCTCATACAAAATTCTATCCAACATTCTTTTGGCAAGATTAACCCCATATGCGAATGAAACTATTGGGGATCATCAGTGTGGGTTCAGACGAAACAGATCAACGATTGATCAGATCTTTTGCATTCGTCAGATACTAGAGAAAAAATGGGAGTTCGGTGGGACTGTACATCAGTTATTTATAGATTTCAAAAAAGCCTATGACTCTGTGAAGAGAGAAGTGCTATATAATATTCTTATTGAATTTGGTATACCAAAGAAGCTAGTGGGTCTAATAAAAATGTGCTTAAATGAAACCTGCAGCAAAATTCGAGTAGGTAAATATGTATCTGAGACATTCCTCATCAAGAACGGTCTAAAACAAGGAGATGCTTTGTCTCCCTTGCTCTTTAACTTTGCGCTAGAATACGCCATCAGGAAGGTCCAAGGTAGGCAGGAGGGTTTGCAATTGAACGGGACACATCAGCTATTGGCATATGCTGATGATGTTAATTTATTGGGGGACGATATAAATACAATAAAGAGGAACGCAGAAGTTTTACTAGAGGCTGGTAGACAAGTGGGGCTGGAAGTAAATTCAGAAAAAACTAAGTACATGTTAGTATCTCGTCATCAGAAGACAGGCGGGCAAAATTATCTTAGGGGAGCTAATAAATCCTTTGAAAGGGTTACAAAGTTCAAATATTTGGGAACAACAATAACAAATCAAAATGATACTTGTGAGGAAGTTAGGAGGAGACTAAATTCCGGAAATGCTTGCTACTTCTCAGTCCAAAATATTTTGTCTTCCCGTCTGATTTCTAAGAACCTGAAAATTAAAGTATACAAAACAATAATCTTGCCTGTTGTTTTGTATGGGTGCGAAACATGGTCTCTCACTCAGAGGGAGAAACACAGATTGCACGTGTTTGAGAATCGGGTGTTGAGGAGGGTATTTGGGCCTAAGAGGGAAGACGATGGGGCGTGGAGAAAACTGCACAATGACGAGCTTAAAAATCTGTACTGCTCCCCCAGTATTGTGAGGGTGATTAAGTCGAGAAGAGAGAGATGGGCGGGACATGTAGCGCGCCTGGATGGGACAAGAGGCGTGCACCGGGTACTGGTTGGGAAACCTGAAGGGAAGAGACCGCTGGGGAGACCTAGACGTCGATGGGAGGATAATCTCAGGCGGGATCTATGGGAGATAGGAGTTGAAGGAAACTGGATGTTGTTGGCCCAGGACAGGGTCCGGGGGAGGGCTTTGGTTAATTCGGTGATGAACCTTCGGGTTCGGGAAGCCATCTAGTTAGTTAGTTAGTTAATCCAAATAACTAATTCTTTGGAGCAGAGCCCTTATTGAGAAGCTGACAGTGGCTCAACCAATCCATGTTCCACAAAAGACAGGAAATCTATTCAAGTGTACTATTATTGTATGGAGAAGGATTCTGTTCCATGGAGTTAGTTGATGAACTGGAATCTGAAATCCAAAATATTTTCCTATTTCAGCGAGGGAAACTACCCTGTGATTCAGCAGTGAAAAAAACCACGAAGGAAGAGAAAATTAGAAAGAAGGATGATAAAAGTGTTGAACAAGTTCTAAAGGCTTTGAATAGCCTGGAAACAACAGAAGAGAAGCTGGCAGCGTTGTGTAAGAAATACACTGACATAGTAGACGAAAATCGTAAACTCCAGGTAAAATCAGATATTAACGTTTATTTTAAATTCTTCTGTGATCGGTCGGGGAATGAATCAGATATTGCCGTGTAACAAGTTGATGTCTAATGAGATATTAAAAAAAATTTACTAACTCACACAGATAATTACTGTAGTAAAATATTGGTGAATGAAATTATTATTGCTTATCACATCCTCCATAATTTTCATCAACTCAATTATTGATTGTGCGTCGGTGTCATGATTATTATCTACTGAGGTGCACAACACATATGATAATTCATTAGATGATGCACTAAGCCACTATAAATAACCCATAACTGTAGGTGACGTGTACCACCTGCGTCTGAGCATTAAACTCAAAAGGCATTTACCACTATTCATTCCGTGTGAATGATTCGCATTGAAATACATGATACTTCTATAAACATCACGTATTGCCATTTGCTAGATTGTAGGTGTGACTGTATAATTCCTGCCTTCTTCTTATTGCGCCATCTCCGAACGAAGGTTGGCGATCCACATGGCGAACATCGTCCTCGAGACTGCCGCTCGAAAGAAGTCTATTGAGGTGCATCCGAACCATCTTCTTAGGTCTTTCATCCAGGGGTTTTGGGGTCTACCAACAGATCTTTTTCCTTGCATTTTGCCCTCGATGATCAGTCTTAAGATCTCATAGCGTACTCCTCTCATCATATGGCCCAAATACCTTATAATAAATTGGGATGCTAATTCAAAGTTGTGTGTTTATTTACTCTGACAGTTAACGGCAAAACAGACAGAAAAGAGATTGATGTTGGTGCAGCGTGAAAAGGAACAACTGCAAACGGAGCATAGCAAAGCTGTTCTTACTCGTAGCCGCCTGGAAAGTCTGTGTCGAGAGCTGCAGAGACAGAACAAGGCTATCAAGGCGAGTGAATAGGATTATATACGGGTCTCGGCCTTAGGGACTGATGGCGAACGCATTATTTAAATAGGCATTGGTATTTTGTGAGACATGTTCTATCTGTTTATGAAGGTTTTTTTATCATATTTTATCAAATAAATCACACACTTTTTTGTTCTGGTATTTTATGATGGAAAACTTCGGTGTCTGATTTACACAATACAAACAAACCGGTTACACAATTTAAATCGTATCTCATGAGTGACCCATATGCTGGGCAGGTTAAGGTGAATTATTATCAAAAGATTTTTGTGGAATATTTGACAGGAATTTGTATACATTACTTTCGATTCAAGTCATATTCAAATGAACCTTGTGGATGTTCTGCAGGACGAGAGTTTGCTCAAAATCCGAGAAGAGGAAGAGAAGAGAAAGGAGGTGTCAGCCAAGTTCCAGACTACGCTGAATGAAATTACAGCCTTAATGCAGCAGAATAACGAGAAGAACTCAAAACTTCGAGAAGACAACCTTGAGATGACTAAAAAGTTTAAAACAGTATGTGAACAGTATGAGTTGAGAGAACAGGTACGTCTTCTTCCGTCTCTTTCTTCTTTTTTTCTTTGCATCGGATTTCATGATTCTGAGGGCACTGCGAGTGGTCCTTTTGTTTTTCTCTTCTTGGTCTCTCCAAGGAAGGTTGTTCTTTCATTTTGTATTTTTAAGTTTTGGGAATGCGTAAACTTTTAGACTGTTAATATTGACCTAAAACTGCGATGAGAGGTACAGACATGACGGTTCACACAGAATGCTTTCAGTACCAGTGTCCAAAGATGCTATATATATGGACTGAATGCCAGAAATATTCTTTCAGTCCGCAAATATTAAGGTAAGACAGTTACTGTAATGTCGGCGTGTGTCTATAATGTGCCGTTGTGTTAACACTCTAGCGTTATATCAGGAGTATCAAGTTTTATAATTTTATCGGCTATCCTGCGATGTTTTATGTGATTTTCCTCAAACTCATCGGTTTAATTCTGGGACGTTACGTCTTGAAAGATGTCACAACCACCTTCTAGCACCGTATTTGCCGTTGTTGTTGTCTTCCTACCTCATTTGACACTAAGTGACCTCTTTGCTCTAAAAGAGTCATTAAGTAACATTACAGTTGATAATTTAGTTGAGGGTTGTGACTGCAAACTTTGTCTTTCAGCAAGTAGAAAAGATCTCGAAGCAAATGCAACTGGAAGCGCAGCTGGCTGATGCGAGATTGGCAAAAGCTAAGATGGAGATGGCTGCTGAAAAAGAGGTCCTTTTGCAGGAGAAGCAGCGGCTGCTTTTGGTAATAATGCAGCAGTAGATATATCTCGGGATCGCTACGTATGTGAATTTTCTGTATTCCATCCACACGGATTAGAAGTGTCTCTTTCAGCTGTAATAATTCTTGTTCTTAATGTTGTGCTTGAACTAACTCTGTGGTATGAGAAACTTAAAATTGGTCAATATTAATACATTTTGCATTCATAAAAATTTAAGCGTCTTTGTTTACTGCCTTTCGTTTTCAGGATTTGACCGAATATCAAACAAAATGTCGAGAACTCCAGACGACAGAAGTGAATTTAAGAAGTCAGATAAGCCTTTATACTGACAAGTATGATGAATTTCAAAATGCATTGAGCAGGAGTAATGAAGTGTTTGGAGGATTTAAGGGAGAAATGGAGAAGGTGGGTTCATAATATCTGTAGAATTTGTATCATACTAAGTGTGACATTGGACCTAACCTGACCTGACTCCATGGGGCATAGTCCTTCTTGAGCAGCAAATAGTGTATTCATCTTGTTAAGAAATTCCGTGTATTGTATGGAACCCAAAGGTCCTTCACTCTATTCACGAGAGCCTGCCACGGGTCTTTATCATAAACCACATGAATTCGGTTCATATCCTCCCACCTATTTTTCTCCAAGATCCATTTTAATATTATACTGCCATCTTTAAGTTATCCAGGTGGTCTGTCTCTTCCCTTCAGACATCCCAAACTACATTTTTCATCTTTCCTGTGCATGCTACTGTGCCCAGCCCATCTCATCCTCATTGCTTTTATAGCACGTACAATGTTTTTTTGAAGAGTGTAAATTATGGAGCTCCTCATTGAGAGGGTTAAAAAATGATTTTGAAAACTGATGAGAACCGTCGTGAGATTTTGTTTTATGCATTATCATTTTTGTGTTCCTGAAATGAGTTTTCGGATGTATTCTGTGTCACGCCACAGTTTCGTGATGTCTCGTTCGTGTTACTCCGCACGCTTTATCGTCACTGTCATCGTTTTGTTTCAGATGTCTAAGAAGATCTGCAAGCTGGAAAAGGAAACTTCGTCATGGAAGCAGCGCTGGGAGAAGAGTCACCAGGCATTGCTGGAGATGGCTGCTGACAAGCAGCAGAGAGACAGCGAACTGGCGCTGGTTACCCGCCAGTTGGCGCAGCTACAGAAACTCTGCAGGACTTTGCAGGCTGAGAGAACGTCTCTGCTCGCCCAGCTCAAGGCTGAGGGAGCGGCCAAGACCGGAGGTAACTTTCTGCCTGCGTCTGATATTTATAATCGGTTTATTTCTTTATTATAGAATATAATTCCTTATGCAATGTCTTCAGTTATGGATTTTGTACGTAGTATTTATTTCTTTACCTTCAGGTTCTGGCAGAGATGTGCCCCTGGAATCTTTGCAGCAGTCACAAGATAATGCGAGAGAGACTTCGCCACGTTCTGCAAATACGCCTTCATGCAGACACGAAGCAGAGAAAGATATACAACATCTTTCAACTCCAATGGAGGAACCAAAGAATAACAACACGGAGACTGACGAAAGCAGTTCTTCTGCAGAACTAATACTGAATGATAACGCACAACAGGGCGATGAAGAACCTGTTGCCGTAGAAACCGGGAACGGTTCCGTAGCTGAAGAACCGAGCCGTGTCGCAGAAGCGGCAAATGAACAAAATTCTACTCAGGGAACTAGTCTGAACTGTATGACGGTTCAGCCTGAAAATGTAGCGAACCCGGAAGAGTATAAACATATTGTTTTAACAAATGAATTGTCAGAAAATAATGATTCTGTTGTATTGGAAACCAATAAAGAATTTGTCGCAAGTATTTGCGCTACGGAAAAACAGGAACATGTAACGGAAAGCCACGGAAGATTAACCGAAGACAAGGAAGCGTCTGAGGTAGTACCGGTTGCGACAACCGCCGTAAATGAGGGTGATCCTCAAATGTACGACCAGCAATATTCTCCAGATTCGGTTGTAAACGGTCGAATGCCGGAAATAATGATTTATCCGTTGACCGTGACGCACGACCAAGATCTTTCTGAGAGCAAGAATATCCCAGTTTCAACTACGAATGCAGCAACCAACACCAACCACGTTTCAGAGAATGGAGTAGCAGAACAAATTCCTGTCAAAGTCGCAGGCGCAGAGAACAAAAAAGGAAAGGTAAGTTTATTCCGTAAACGAACTTCCACACAGCTGTTTGTACTGTAGGATAAGTTAAATCGATATCAACTTCTTCAAGACGATTGCAGTTTGTAGGAGCCGTAAACTGCGGGAGAACCGTCCGATGTTTGGTAGGCCTCCTGGAATGGGGTGGGGGGTCAGCCCATTGCAAGGCATCTACCAGCACGACACATGCGTGCCTTGGGTCGGATTTGAACCCATGATCCCAATGTTGGAGCAGTCTTCTTCTTCTATGGCTCTCCAGTCTGTATTCGGTCCATGGCCTCCTCAATTCTCTTCCATTCGGTCCTCTGTTGGGTCCGTCAGTCCGAAGCTTTGATCGAGGTTTCGAAACATCTTCCTTTTTACGGTGCAAGGTTGTTAGCCTTGCGACCAACCCCCAACCTGGAGGACCAGGGTACCTCTCCCCCTCGACCAATCTGGCTAGGGAGGCCTTACCAGTAGCTCTTGGGGTCACTGAGGTACTCAAGCCCCACCACCACGACAAGGCGCAGGTACCAACCCACAACCCGCCTTACTGGTAATCAGCGTTGGTACGTCATGTAACCGTTTTGCCATCTAATTGCAGGCTGAGTAAGTAATGCGAACCTCTTATTTTGGGGCCTGAGGGTGTCGTAACGTAAGAGGAGCTCTTTGCTGGCGAGTGAGCAGTGACTGTACAATTTAATTTGTTAAGTTCTTTGGATTTACGCGATGGAATTGCATCGCGAGGTTTTCCTTATCGATCTGTTTCGTCGTAATGTGTGAGATTTATTGCAGAGGACTGTGACCTATGTAATTCTCCGCTGTTATTCTTTACAGGAAGGTTCAAAGAAGCGAAGAAATAAATGAGACTGGAAAAGATTTAAATGAATATTTAACAGGAGTCAAGAAAACCTTGGATTTGAGCGGATGTATTAGAAGTCGCATGCAGCGATACCTCACATCATTTTGTAATCCCACCATTTTGTAAGGAATTTACTGGAATAGACGTGAACGCTTAGGTATGTGTTGTTTTTTCTATAATTTTTATTTCATTTAAATACGTGTGATCCGTACATTCGCGGAATGTATTGGTAAGAAGTTTTAAAGAAATGTAATTATTTTGGATTTTAATTTCTATTGTATTCTATCAACATTTTGTGGAATTTAATTCTATTTTATAAATGGATTTTTATTGGTTTCTTTTCCTGTGGTTTGATGAGTTTGACGTTGCAGTCGAACTCATTTTGGTTTGTGATGAAGATTTTCTGTCATGGATCACCATTTCGGTTGGCATCGTGTAGTCAGAATTATCTGATCTGGTGTAGGCATTATGCTTTATGTACGTCGTTTACGCCAGTGGTCCCCAACATTTTTGTGCCTATGGGCACAGTTTGAGAGTTTATGAGGTCGTGGCGTGCACCAACCAATTAACAAAGCCAAATTTTCTTTTCTCCGGACAAATAAGATATGGACACCAAATAATACGCAAAACAACACGACGTTTAATGATACAAGAAACCACACAATCAAAAATACGTACTTTTATAATTACAATTATTATTACTCAAGTGGGAAGTTAGTGTGATGTTTGGCGCTGCATTTCATCGGCCAGTTTTTCAAATTTGGGAGTGTACGATGATGTCGCTGCTCGAAAACAATCGTCAAGATGGGCGTCACTAAATCGAGATCTGCGCCTTGATTTTATAATGTTCACGGTTGAACGGCCTTCATTATTCAGTATAACCTCTTTCCGTAACAACGCGGGGACCCAAAAAAAAGCCTTGACGCCCGCGGGCACTGCGTTGGGGACCACCGGTTTATATTATAGATCCAAGAGTCAAAATGTAATTGTGGAAGAAATGGTGTGAACGTCTTCTGGTGTTTGTGTTAGATTAATAATATTGTCATAACGCATGATAGAGTGTGAACGTCATAGTTCTCACGTAGATCAAGATGGTACCGTCCACACTGTGAAACTGAATAAATGATCATTTAATTAATTAGAAGTCTCTGGATTAATTGTGTGCTTGGTGAAACACACGTGCCCCCTTCATACAGAGGATGACTAGGAATGGGAAACCGTTGTCCACGGATTAAGATTTGGGATATCACAATTAGACGGACGTATTTTATTATACAAATATTCGTATGTAACAGTAATTTTCTGTCACGACATGGTTGACGTGTTTGTGTCTATCAAAATGTGCAGATTTACAGTTTTTTAGTCACTCGCACATTATTACGGACTCAGACAGTTACTTGTTTGAGAAAAGGATGACGTCCTTAAATCAGATTGATTTCAGGAGTCCCTTGAAATATTTTATGTAACGAGAAAAAAACTACGAAGATTAATAAGACTTTAACTGATGAATAACTTCGTCAGCGTCTGTACTTTTATGATTTTATTGAATCGCTCGGTACTCCGCAGAACTGTGTTCGTATCCTCGCTGAAGCGTGTGTCTTGTACCCTATCAGTAACTGTGGTCACTGACCATGTCAAAAATTGCCTTTATTTCTTACAAAAATAACATCAATAAATAAACTAAAATACGAAACATACAACCAAGTAATGAAGCTTTACGTGCATGACGTATCCCAAAGAGCAATTTTATGAGCACGTGCGCAGACATTTATAAAACATTAGAGCATCTGCATAGCGAGTATGTGTGTGTGTCACATTCCTCTGCCTTCCCCACAAACCAGCAGTATCACGTTAATGATGGACGTCGTTAGCTTGTATCCGGTCTCCTTCGACTTACGTTCACTCGGTTGTATGTTATTTTCCTTCGTTATTGAGCTAAGTGCGTCACAAGTCGAGGAATGAGGCCGTATTTGAGTAAATGGATGACGCAGTCATACAGAATATTTGATTTGTAACACTACTCTACTTCTTGAGCACAAATTCTACCTTGTGGGTTTATGAAAGAACCTTACGTGGTCTGTACCGCCAGCACGCTCTTAAGCGTAGAGACGTTCCTTGAGCAATTGTGGAAGTTCATTTGTATGTGAGGTTAGCTTTTGTTATATGATGAAAAGAATGCCAGTGCCTTCATGAGTTGGTAACTCTTAGAGATGGGTATGTTACTGTCGTAGAGCTTTTTAGAGGCTTTGCAGTCGACGTAGAACCACCAGTTACACTTCAGAATCGTTTGGTCAAACAGCGTAGACTCTGGACAGAGGAAGCTTTTCATGATAAGTCCATCATCTGTGAACGCACACACGTGGAAAACCTGCGGACAGAATTAAAGATGTAGTTGTAACACACACTTTTTCCTATAAATTTTGAACCCTGAGCATATTATTACGATATTTCTGCTTCGACATAATCCATTGTCTGTTGTTAAATACAGGAGCCCTCGATTTACGCCGGTATAATTTGCGCCGATTCAGAATAACGCCGATTTTGAAATCAGAAAATCAAAAAGTGAAAAAAAAAAAATTACTATTATTTATAACGTTTTGCAATCTTTCTCATACTGCTTCTTATTCTAAATCGTAATTCTTACATCGCTGATTTTGAATAAAGATTATAAATACAGTCATCTCTGCAATTTCGTATGTTTCGTTAACGCGAATTTTCTCCAATGAGATGAATGAATCGGTAAATGATATTTGTGAAATGCAAACTTTTGCATATGCGAGTTTGCTCTTACGCAAATGTAAGCCTCGGCGAGGTGGCTAACAACGTTTGTGATGGGCTTGTTAATCAAGTATTTTATCAGATCGGTTCTGTTATGGTCCAGTGTGTAGAGTACCAGCGAACAACGAAAGTAAGACTTTTTTTTTATTTTTCAATGTGTTAGCCGGGCTAACACGGCCGACACGAAAGCCCGCCCCAGAACTTATGTCGTTCTTACCGTATTTTGGTTTTATACGGCTCGTGAGTATTTTTTTTTAATTCCACGGTCAGTTTTCGGAGTTCTGTGCCGTCGTGCCTCGAGCACCTACAGAATAACGGGGACCGTTACTTTGTTTTCACACCGAGTGGCGTATTAGCGCCAAACAATGTCGTCCCAGTTAAAAGCGTCACCCGAACACCTACTTTAATACTCAAGATGGCGTCAGCAGTGTCGAAGGCGTTCTTTTTAGCTCGGTGGCCTCATTTCACAGCCACAGAGATGTCTGTTGACTGCGTTATGTAAGGAAATGAGAACTTGCGAGGTTCCGCATCACCACGTGCCTCTATGTCTTTGTCACTTACCACATTTCTGTTTGCGTTGTCATTCTAACCTAAAGAACGTGCAGGTTAAACGAGGTTTTGTGTCGCGAACACAAGAGAACGTAAAAGAAGGCGATATTTTGTCCAAATGAACTTCTAGTGTTAACAGTCACCTGCTTTCGTGAGAACACTTCCTTCTTCATTGTTTCCGATTCATTCGACGCAGAATCATTGATGGAAATGGGAAAATATTTATTAATGTGTGTCTATTTCTTCGGACTGCAACTTAGCACTGACTGTGGAATTAGTTGTTCTGCGGGAGACGTCCTAGAATGTGACTTTTCTAGGATTTAAATGCAGTATTTGAATAAAAATTTTCTTGGATATTATCCATCGTCTAGTAAATATATAAAACGTAAAACGACGTTTCGGAGATGGGGCTATATCTCCGTCTTCAGGTTCCTACTCAGTTGGGTCCACTAGATAGAGCTAATCCCTATCTATATTTGATTTAAATGCAGTGGTTGACACAAATGTATCGAAGATTTATGATAATTTTCTTAATCTGTGTTTGAACGTAATCCGGTGTTGTAGAAACTGGTTTCGTGTTCATCTTTATTTTAAGAGGTTTTTGAATTCAAGTGGCTGAATTTAGTGTACAGAAGTTAATTTCAACAGGGACTTCGTCCTGCGTTGCTATTAAAATACCAATCTTTCAAGAGCCCTAGAGTTTCTTAATAAGAATATTACGGAGACCGAACCTTCAGTTTAATCCACCAGCTACTTAAAGATAACTGTCTTTTTTGGATTCTGCTCAGTGTAGTCTGGTAGAAAATGATCCGAGTTGTAGGGTGATCGCCTTGAAGATGGAGGTACCATGGACCACAGAAACGTCGGTGAACATCTACCAGACTACACGTTTTCGTTCTAGCCCCCTTGAGAACCTGAAGTCACACCAGGTACTCACCATGCAGCCCAAGTCCTCATCAGCGTAGAGTCCCGGGAAGTGCTTCTGGTCACCACAGTAGAACGTCGTGTCGGGAAGTTCCACCCTCGACGCAAAATTGTCGTCGAAGTTCTTGTTGTACCCGACCGGGTAGTACTCGTTCGGAGCGTTCATGACTTTACTGGGAGCGGCGAGCGGGTATTTCTTGATTGGACTCGAGGTAGTGGGTCTCTTCGTGGTTGTGGTGGTTGCACTTGTCGCTGCAGCGTTCTGTTGCTGAATCAACTGCTGTTGTCTGACGGCAATTGCCGCTGCAATGGCGTCTTCTGATAAGTTGGTAGCCTTGGCTAGTGTTTTGATGGAGTAACCCATTGTGGCCAATGAAGAGTCGACGACGGGGGATGATGGTTTGTGCTGGTTTGTAGTTCCTGCCCTCAGGGTTAACGTGTTTGTGGACAGCCCTTCGTCGCTGGCAGTTGGCGGGTCTTTGCGGATCTGTTGAAAGCGTAGAATTTAATTAAATAACACGAATTCATACTTGAAATTGTGTTTTTGTCCGAGCCAGGTAGCGTTTGTGAGACTTGAGGTGTTCTGGGTTGTGAAGCCACGTGTATTTGTAAATGGCTACCAGAGTTTTTGAGGTACGCATCGCTTCCATGTTAACGTTTCATCAGAAGCAGTCCCTTCACACAAATGCTGTAATAGTATCTTAAATTAAGTCATGACCATTTCCTTAAATATTATTTCCAGTTCATTGTTATTCATCGTTCATCTTGCCTCTCGACGTTACATAATATGAGCTGCTGGATACGTCGTTAAATAATAATAATTATTAATCTCCGTGTATGAACTATGCCCTCTGGCCTGTTAATTAAACAAGAAACAATGAATGTGTTAAGATATTTTCTAGGACACCTTGGGTGGGGAATCCCCCGGATACAAATTTTTAAGACGCCTTGGGTGGGGAATCCTCCCGGTACAAGTATTATAGTAAGGAAGACATTACGCTGTGCCACAAACCTGGAAGTGGTTAGTAGCCATCTTTAGGGTGTTCCTGAAGGCAACCGGCGCCCTCACCACCTGGACACCCATTAATTGTTTCTGGCCTCCTCCTCCTGTCGGTCCAGTGGATACCCGGGAGATTGACGACGGCAGGGCCTGGAAGGGAGGCACAGGAACGGCGACGACGGAAGGCACCCCGACGCTGGTCCGGGATGGGCGGGAGACGTTGTGGAGCTGCTCGGTGGACGGTGGCAGGGGCTTGAAAGGAGGAACGGTGACTGTGGGGGCCTTGTTGCTGGCCTGCTGACAGAAAAGCGGGATTATCCAGCAAGTAGTCATCTTCACGCTCCGTCCGCTTTACCCCCTGGGGTTAGTTCCTCCGGTACCTTCTGGATAAGAGGCTAGGTTCAACGCGGCTAAAACTCTGAGGGTGAATTTTTCGATATTTTTTCCCCCTTTGAACACGAAGATCATCGAAAAAAAAGGGATCTACGATATTCCGCATGTTGTAGTCAGCATTTTCTTTTAAGACACCTGAAATGTTTGTTACTTACGACAGGAGAGTGCATTTCACGCCCGTCTGTTAAAATTACAGTTCTGTGTGTTTTAATAATTTAACAGTTCGCGTGTTCCTGTGTAACTTCTTGTTAGCGTCAACTTAAGTTGACTTCATTTGCATTTCCTGTATTGTGTACAGAACAAAAAACTTGTACTCATTACAGAATATCTTCTAAGACGATTTCTCTTGGTCCATCACAATTGTTTTCAAAGATTTGCTTAACTATGATGAAAGAACAATTCTAAAATTGTATTGTGCTACATATCTTATAACGGTAAAGAAAAATATATACCGTTAAACAAGTGAAAGGCTTAATGCGCCTGTAAGGAGTACGTCGTTAACGACGTGAAGACGATGGATACTCCATCTGACTGTTACATAACGACACAGCACTGAAACAAAAACTTGTGTGCTAATAATTATAGCCACGCGTGAAAGTTTTATGTAGTGGAAACACGAGCTGTTTGTTAAGATTCGTCTTCTGTACAAATGCCAACCGCGGTACGTCCTTTTATGGCGGGCGACAGCGACGTTTTTAAAAAAAATTGAGACGTAAAATGGCCAAGAAGTGATCTTTTCTCCTTGGCTGTTAGATGGCGATGTCTCTGTGTTATAACCGTTGCCATGGTAATGCTCTTAATTTATCTATTTAGTTGCGTGTTTGACTGCTCGAATTGAAACACGTCTGTCTGCCGGTACTTTTACTTTCTATCAAGATTTGTGTTTAGTGTTTCGCTTGCTTACGAGGAATGTGTTTTTTTTTTTTTGCGAACACCTGGTAGTGACTGTTCAATCACTTACCGCGAGATGCGTTGCAGCGAATGTCTGTACCCCGATGTTCGCGCTGCGGGCCCCGTGCCCTGATCGGCGTTTCTCTTCAAGTTCTGGTAACGCCGGCTCAAACCCCAACGAATCTCCAACACTGAAACCTGGAACAAATAAAATTAGGAATTATTTCTTTAACCCGTTCCGTGTTACGAACGTTATATCTCGTTTAGAGACGCTGCCCCCCCCCCCCCCCCCCCCCTCCCCCCCCCCCCCCCCCCTCATGGTGTCCGGGAACGCGCTGAAAAGGTTAGACTGCGACTTTATTGCTATGGTGTTACGTAACGATGGGTTTTTAAACCTTTAACGCCAAGTGGTCAATATATGAACCACCTGTTTGTGTAATAATTATGTATATTGTGTGTTTCGTATGATTTCCTATGTAAACAGTGATCAATTCTTTAAACAGCGTTAACCAATTGATCTTTGTAATAGTGAATAGTTGTGTTTTCTTTGCGGTACGGACTGAATTCTTTAATATTTAGACGAGCTTTGGCTTAGGAAGGTTCAAGTTGTTTACTTGTGGGTGGAGACTTATTCGTCGGAAACAAATGTGAATCGAGGGGCGAAAATACAAAAGTTTGCATAGTTTTATCGTAATTTCTGCGACAGAAACAGAAGAAGGAAATGAATTACAAATGAGCTCCATAAATGCGTAATACCTGAAACAGAAAGTATTAATACAGCATGCAAGGGTGCCCAAACCAGCGTCATACAGGGAAATACAGGCCAAAAGAAGGACGTACCAACACCGACGTATCCCTTCACTCCACCTAGGTTCCGGACCCGGAACAAACCGGATTTCTTGAAGGCGCAGTTCAGTTTGAACCCAAAATCTGATTCCAGTACGCACACTGCATCTGTACACCTCCACATACATCCTGAAATACAATACATCATATTTACAGGGAGGTGAGATGGCAGGGACTTGTAGCACGCACGAGTCTAGAGGTTTTTATACAGTCTGAGGTTATAAAATTATTGTTCTGTGGGGGTATTTTAATTGGGAAGGATGCGTGATTGGCGAGACATGTAACACGTATGTGTACCCAGTTTTGTGTTTGAATGTTAGTGGGAGAGACTTGGGAAATTCCAGGTATAAATGGAGTTGGTGGTACAGATTGTGTGATCTTGAATGTTACGAGTCAGGGATAAGTTATGTGATAATTATCATAAATTATACTGTTCACCAGTTTTGTTACAATTATTAAACCGAGAGACATGCAACATTTTTGTTAAATCATGCTTGAAATGAAGATACCGTTTTGGAGATGTAGGCGTGGAGAGGGGATAATATTAAAAGAGATCTTAAAGATAATTCGTGAGGGTGTAGACTGAATTCAACTTGGTCAGGATATGATCCAGTGCCGGGTTCCTTTGAACATGGTAATGAGACCTTAGATTTTATAAAAGTCCTTCAATATCCTGTCCAGCTGAGTCTCCTCCATATGGTGAGTCGTGCAAAGGATTGGACGTAGATCCAAAAACGGGATTTTGTTACGAAAGTGACGCTTCCTTGCGACTTATTGCAGAAGATAATTTATAGTCCAGGTGAACAGGATTACTGCTCTAGAAAGACCTTGTACCACTGAGTTAGTTCATCATGCATGTAAGCAGAGTGAAAGTAAAGCAATTGAAAAATGCTAATGGGGGTTTCAGACCCAACAGCCTTATGAGAACAAGTTCCTTCCAGATAATGTAAACTAGAAATCGGACCACTGTCACAACCGGTTGGTCCCACCCGGCTTCTTGTCCAAATAGTAATAAGGCATCTTTCCGAGGATAAGATGTGCCGGAGTCATGTTACTTACCACTAATCTTCATGTAGTTCCGAAGTCAATTCTTTCATTGCCACGAACGAGATTTATCGTTCAAGGTCACCAACTGCTTTTGCTCTAAATACGTGTGGTGTTTAACTGTAGTGAACGTATTCCGTTTTTATTGTCGATAAAACCTTTTCTTTTGCAATTAACATACATTTTTGTAATGAATTGGACTGCTAGGTCGTGATAACGAGCTTAATATCACGTCAGTGGGAAAACGGAGTTTGATTTACGACGTTTTGAACAGCGTATTTTGTTGTAAAAGTGGGAGTCACATAAATTAATCAGTCTTCGTTTCCTTTACAGTTCCATATTCGATATTTCTATTGTTAAAAAACAACAATAGGCCTATTCCGAAACAATGCAGGCAACGCTCTATTTGAGTTTCTGAACAGACGATTGGTTTTAACGTAAAAAGGGTTTACGTCTACCTTAGCTAATCGTTTGACGAGTCATTAAACGGAGAGTAATTCACACTTTTCGTTCACCGATTGGGAGCAATTGCCTTGAGACAAGGCTCTCAGCTGGTGACTTACTGCCTAGTAAAGTGCCTTAGTCCTTCCAACAGCCAACCGAAAACTGTGATGTGTGGAACTCGTAGAATCTTTCCACTACATCCCGAGGACCTTCAACTGAGATCGGCTTTCGAAGCTAGAAGAGACCTAGTGACCTAGATTTAGGCTGACCACCACCCAAGCACACTGCAGCATTTTAATGGCTTCGGTGTGCGAAATGAAGGGAGGCGATTCTGAGCTGTTTCTTACAGGCACATTTTAAGTTACACTGGCTAACCAACCATAACCCTGTATTTGCTTTTATTATTGACAATGAAAGTTGGGGAAATTTCTCTCTCTCAATGACTGTTATTAGAGTGATTATTTCATGCAGAAATAGCAGTCGATGTGTGTATTCCAGACTTCCGAAAAACTTTCCCTAATATTTTTGTTATGGACACGATCTGTTGCATTTTTAGCAGGGCTAGTCTGCGGTATAGGTCAGGGATCGACATCGTATGATGTTTCTTATTTACTTGTTTATTTAACGACGCTGTCAGTAGCTCGAACTATACTTCTTATTGAATTATAATATTTAATACCTGATGCATGAAATCATTGTTGTTCCGAATTTATACTTTATTTAATATTTCATACACTCCATCTTACGTGGGTTTTGTAACTTATAAAATTACGTTGTTTCGATCAAAATTTGTATGACGTGCAGTAGAGAGGAGAAAAAAAATATTGTTACTTAAATAAAACAGCATCGTTTAATTGTTATACTTCACACACTGGTGACGGTGTCGTTACAAAAATGATTTTACGTCGCATTTTGAATGTTTTCAAATAAAATGCGCTCTTGAGTATTTCGACAGATATTTTTTTAAGGGGGGGAAAAAGTCTGGCAGATGATGTCATCTGTTTGTCTTATATTTTAAGCAAATGTTGATAGCTTGGTTGATAATCATTAGTGATCATTAGTTAAGTGATTTTGGGACACACGGGATATTTATTTTTGTGTTAATATTATTTATATATTCAGATGTTTTGGGCCTTAAGGGACAATATAACTGTGAGTTTACACCTTTAGATTTTCTCGTAATTCTTGGCGGGTAATTTACCAATTATAATTGTTAATAATGCAAATCGAATGAATTGAATGTTCGCTTTAAAATTTAAAACACAATAATTGTTAACCAAATATTTACAAACACGGAGGAAACACTTATTATATGCTGACAAATTAATATTTCGTACTGAAATTATAGCCCCGTAAATTATTTAAAATTTGATTAATATTTTATAGATGCCTTCAGCGGGTCACATAATGTTGTATACCCGGAAGGAAGACTCGATTAGGTTAAGTTTGCGTTAGATCTAAATTAAATATTACCGGAGGAACAAGGCGCTTCTGGGATGAAAAACAGTTGACGGGAATTATAGAAGAATAAATAAACAGAACATTGTCACTTACCGAGCATAAGAAATACGAAAATAAGCTGCCACTTCATTTTGATATTAAACACGCTTAAAATTACAGACGCACCAAACTCAAACAGCGTACACCCGCGTCTCGGTTGGCTCAGCCGACTGATTTCCCACCTGGCCGCCCGGTAACCTACTCGCTACGCAGTCACTGACCCACTGGATCCATGGCCTGAACACTAGCCAATCACGTAACGGGATTCTAAGTGACGCATGATGGGAGCATGCAGGAGTTTCTAAATACCTGTTTACCTTCAGAAGCATGTTTTTTTATATAAATTTGCTAGTTTATTATGAACATACTCCTTTACCCAATGCATAAATTAAATTGAGAAACTTTCGAGTAAGGTGCTAGGGTCCAATTTCTTGCCTTCAGAACAGTCATGAGAACTGAACTAAGGAAGGCGGTAAAATCAGGGCGATTGTAAGAGCTTGGAGAACGCTTACGATGGGGAACATATTATTTACTAATGTAAAGATTGGTGCAAAAACTACTGGCATTCTAAATACAGTACCTGATTGTAGCTTTATGGGATAAAAAAATAAACCTCTCCGTGTTTTATGATGATTAATGTCTTGTTGGAAGACACATTCTGTTTGGTAATAATTTAATGTTTATTGAAAATAATAATAAGAAATATTGATTACACTTTGTAACATTTCAAAGTTAATTGCTACGCGTGACAGGCTAGATGAACGTCGGCATGGAA